GGGAGTCTTGCAAGTGATATCTCAAAGTAATGTGCCTTTAAAGAGATGCATGTAAATTATGTTACATTTTAGTTGCAGCCACATATATGACCTGGTAATCTCGAGATGTGGATGCAAGTGGGTGGTGATTTTCTATGTACTCCTATACCTATTAGATTAAAACTTTTGGCAAATACAAAGGTTATAGTGCTGTGAGAAACTATTTAAGGATATACTCATTGGCATTAATATTTAAACCCAAACCCCAAATCTCTTACTTGGAGAAAAATTTTCTCTGAGCTGTTGCCAGAAGGTTGAGAAATTACCAGATTATATAGAAAGAGGTGATGGAAACAGGGCATATGTGGTTAGCCTAGAGCAGCGGTTCTCAACCTGTGGGTCACGACCCCTTTGGCGGTCGAACAACCTTTTCACAGGGGTCGCCTAAGACCATTCTGCATGTTAGATATTTACATTACGATTCATAACAGTACAGTTATGAAGTAGCAACGAAAATAATTTTATGTTTGGGCTCACAACATGAGGAACTGTATTTAAAGGGCCAGAAGGTTGAGAACCACTGGCCTAGAGGCTCAGTCTGTTATAGAGCAAGATCTCAATTTGTTGCTCTGTCACCTAGGATGTCATTGCCCTATGCTAAGAGGGAGCCTTATACAAGAAAACTCATTGTGGTTATTCACAAATTAGGAAGCTCTATGGGAAAAGTTTATTTAAAATAGGAAATTTTGAAGACCATGTTTATGTATATATTTATTTGTTAATCCTCACCGATTTATTTTTAGAGAGAGTGGAAGGGAGGGGGAGAGAGAGAGAGAAAGAAACATCAATGTGAGAGAGACACATTGGTTGGTTGCCTCCCACACATACCCCAACCAGGGCTGGGGATCGAGTCTGCAAACAAGGTACATGCCCTTGACTGGAATCGAACCCAAGACCCTATAGTCCGCAGGTCAACACTCTTATCTACTGAGCCAAACTGGCTGGGGCTATTCTTATGAAGAATATAAGAACTCATGGAACAGGACCTTTTAAAGCTACTTTTTAACTTTTATTTAAGAGTTAGGATATTGTATGCCGAAATTCAAGGAAACCCTCAGTGACTAATGAGAACGTGTTAAAAAGACTCTGGAACCTGTTTGAAGAGGCTCACATTGGCCAACTTTGGGACAATTCAGTGATCAAAAAATAAAATGGCCCTAAGCTGTGGTCAGCAAACTGCGGCTCGGCAAACCGCGGCTCTCGAGCCACATGCGGCTCTTTGGCCCCTTGAGTGTGGCTCTTCCCCAAAATACCGACTTTGTGGCATGGGCCACGAAGTTTCAATCGCACTGTACTGCCCTCCCCTGCTGGCCTGGTTGCCCCCAGCTGCCCTCCTGTGCCGGCCTGGTCCCCTCCCCTCCAACTGCCCTCCCCTGCTGGCCTGATTGTTCACAACTGCTCTCCCCTGCCGGCCATCTTGTGGTGGCCATCTCGTGACCACATGGGGGCGACCATCTTGTGTGAGGGTGTGACAGTCAATTCTATAATACCTCTTTATTATATAGGATAGGTTTTTTTGTTTCTTTTAGGACATGTATTACCCTTTTTAAAAACAACCTTTAAAAGGGAATTTTTGAAGTTAGGGAGTATTGCATAACAACTACATGTAATGTCTTTTTATTTCAGAGCCTGTTAAAAATAAGTTGGTACTCTATGAGGTGTTAACAAACTTTGTCAGCTCTGTAACTAGTAGTAATAGCTAACACTTGTTGAACACTCACTCTTGTGCCATGCATTGTGTTAAGTATGGAGGAAAGACTAGTGAGCTAAATAAATATGGTTCCTACCCTTATGTTGTTTACAATCTAGCAGGTAAGAAAAAAATATTTTTGCTTTGTCCTAATTAGTCTTTACATGTTACTTATATCTTATTTTATTTAATTATTAACATTTAACACTATACAAAAACTTTAGAAACATTTTGTGTAAGAGCTTGTTTATATTAGTACATACAAACTGTGTATGACAATCTTTTGATAAAACTAAACATATTGGTGTATTTTTCAAAAAGAGATATAATTTAATATTATAATTTGATATCACATGTAGGTGGATTAAAACAGAATAGCCTTTAAAAAATTCTGAACACTAATCATGCATTATGTTTGGTTTCAGATGGTTACTCTAACAGCTAATGATAAGACAAGTGTTTCCTTCTCCTCCCTCCGGGGACAAGGTGTCATTTTTAATGTCATTGTTTGGGACCCAGTTCTCAATACATCTGCTGCTTATGTTCCTGCTCACACATATGCTTGCAGCTTTGACGCAGTAGAGGGTAATTGTTTTTCTCTTGGTGAGTATATAGATTTAAACTTTGCAAACTCTTCTTTGAAGATCTATATCAACTAATATAGAACTAAAGAATATTGAAAATGTTTTTGTGTAGCATTCATTCATTCATTCATTCATTCTACAGATGCCTCTTAAGCCCCTACAGTACTCCACTCTCTGCTCTCTGTTCCCAGCACTGGAAGATAGCAGTGTGTGTGTGTACTTAACATTTTATTTTGAAATAGTTTCATGGAAAAGATGAAAAAATAGTAACAATGTCTGTATAATCTTCACCCAGATTCTTCAAATGCTAGTTAACATATTTTGCTGTTTGCTTTTTATTCTATTTACTAGAGACCCAGTGCACAAATTCGTGCATGGGTGGGGTTCAGCTGGCCCGGCCCCAATCGGGGCCGATGGAGCTTGGGCCTACTGGGAGGAGGAGATGGCGGGAGACTGGCCAGCTGGCCCGCCCCTATTGGGGCTGATCAGGGCCGGGCCGGCTGGGGGGAGGGGCCATGGGCAATTGGCTCCGCCCCCAACTGGG